ACGCCTTTAGCATCAATGACTTTGCTCTCTCTCCTGTCAGGAGAATTGTCTGTGAAAATTCAGAAACGATGCTGGATTATTTTCTTGGACTGACAGAAATGTTCGTTCAGGGAGCTTTCGGGGATGTTTTGCATTTCTCTCTGTGGGACTCTCAGCTCTGGAAGGATTAAAGTCAGGCTGCGCGGAAGGAGCGTGCGGCCACCAGCCCTCGGACCGGTCACGGGGAGCAGTTTGCTTTGGAAATTAGCGCCTCGAGTTATCCATCGAGCTGGTGGTTTGATTCTTCTTTCTCTCTCTGTTATTTCTCCTCCATCCAAAGGTTGTTTTTATTATTTCCAGCAGAGAATGAGACGAAAACATTGAAAGGTAGTGTCTTTTAGTAATGCTTTTCAGGCAAGTTAGAGGAATTCTTTACCAGATTTAAAAATGGAAGAAATGGAAGCATATCCACCCCTCGTGTCTGTTGGGGAGAGGCTCTGAGCCAAGCCCAATTTCCACCCAGGAGTGTAACCCAGGAGTGGTGGCCTGGGTGCCCCACCAGGCCTGAGGTGTTCAAGGCCAGGTGGGATAAAGAGGGCTGAGGCCCCTGGATAAGGCGGTGGGTGGGGAGGCTGGGGCCAGGTGGGTGGGGCCCACACCCAGGCTTCCACGCCAGGTGCCGTGGCTCAGGGCCCTCTTGCAGGCTCAGGTGAGGGCATCTACATTTGGGATCTAATATAGACCTCCATTCGGCCTGCTTCCCACCCGGTGCCTTCCCAAGAACACGCAGGGCTGTAATGACCCATTGGGTCTGTACCTCCTAAGTAGAGTTAGCAAACCTAGCAGTGGAATTGGGATGTTTGGCTACGATTTCCTGAAAGATTTTTAGGATGGAACTTGTTCTGGGAGCTGAGGCCTGAGCTGCAGCTGTAACCCAATGGGTCTCTGAAGCCATGGGAAACCCCCACTTGGAAAGAGGACCAGAGGGAGGCCAGTGGGTCCAGCCACGGGACCAGTGGGTTCTAATACCTGTGTTCCGCACCAGGGGGCAGTGCCCCGCAACAGTCTCTGCAGCTGCCCTTTCTGTCCTTCGCCTCCTTGGGGGTCAGAAAGTGCACCCCCTGCTGCAGTCCCTGCCCTTCCCAAAGTGTGATGACTCTGAAAATGTCCATTTTTCTCCATGCATACATTTAAGGCAATTGCAATGAGAAGTCCAAAGCAACTTTGAAGGGACAGGGCAAAGTGATTCCAAAATTCATTTGGAAGAATGACAGATAGGAATTACCAGTATAATTTTCAGGGGAAAGATGAGAGTAGGGGGGAGGTATTGGCTGTGCCATCGTTTAGACGTGTTCCCAATAAGCTGTCATGAGAATCAACATGGCGGGCCCTTCTGTCTCGTCCTGGGCACGCAGGGCAAGGAGGTAAAACAGTCTGGGGCTGAGCTAAGACCCAGTGGAAATACCCAGAGACAGAGTCTGTTTATGATGAGTTCAGGATGAAGAAGCTGCGTCACATCAGTGGAAGGAGCTGGGCTGGCTGATGGTACCTGAACCACTGGCTAACCAGGGAGATTCCTCCTTCACAGCGGACAGCAGAATAAATGCTGAGGGAAATACAAAAATAAGTGCAACGGAAGCAACAAAAAAGAACAAACATTAGTGAACCTTCTAAGCTTAGTGCTTACTTCTAAGCAATGGAGGGAACTGCAGAGAAAAAACTACATGCATCTTAGTACATGAAATTCGAAGCTCATATAGTCTGACAACCTCAGTAACCATATTAAAACCAAAACTACAGACTGGGAAAATGTTTGCAGTAACTGTTCCACAGACTGTCACTTTATTATGAAAATGGACAAAGATCATTCTTGGAGAATATTTACTGTGCTCTGCGTAGTTTATTTTTTGCTACAAAAGAAACCTTGTCTACCATGAGTTAAATCTGCATATAGAATTATATTAAACACACACGCCAGGCTAATGCCTTTTTTCATATATCAAGTCTAGGCACCCTCTTTGGTGGTGTTCCGCTGTCTTGTGGGCAGGAAGACACACTTTGGGACTGACACGGTCACATGTCTGAGTGACACCCATGCCCTCCAGTACCAGGCTGGGCAGAAGACCTGGGCTTAGGGTGGAGGTGGTGAGATGTAAGGGCACAGACAGCCCCAGGGGCCTGCTTGTCAGAGAAGTGAGCTCCCTTCTGTGCCTGAGAATGAGGGCTCTGTCTAGGGACAAGCGAGCGAGCGCAGTGGGGGAAGACCACAGACCGCCCCAGTGGATTGCCCCCATCACCCTGAAAAAGCTAGGCATGGCCTGGGAGGGCGCAGCAGGTGTCCTGGTCACAGGGATTTCCAGCAGGAAGGACATGTCCCCTTCCTGCCTGCTTCCCCACCTGGGGCCTGCCCAGGACTCTTACCCGCAACCCCCCAGCCACTCAGCACAGTGCCTGGGACAGGGAAGTGCACAGCAGCAGTGCCTGGGACAGGGAAGTGCACAGCAGCAGTGCCTGGGACAGGGGAGTGCATAGCAGCAGTGCCTGGGACAGGGGAGTGCACAGCGGCAGGGTTCTTCGGGGCCAGCAGAGGTCATGCTTCAGGGTCCTAGAAATGCACACACGAGGTAGAGTATTTTTGTAAAATAACTTACTTTCGTATGATTTTACTTCCAGATGACCCCTCATTTTATACATTTCAGGCTGCTCAAAACCTGAACCCTCCCCTGCCCGGAGACCTGCTTTTGAACCCACAGGATCCATCCAAATTCTTTCCTTCTTCCTCTGATAAACTGGAGAATGTTCTCAGTGAGTCATCCTCCTCCACCCCCGTCCCAGGGCTGGCTGGAATTCAGCAGAGAAGCTGGTGAACTTTTTCAAGGTGTTAATTCATTCACTTGACACACACTTGTTGACCACCTGTGTATGCCAAGCCGGCTCTCAAAGAGCAGTGATCAGATGTAAAGATGGGGGAGTCATTCCACAGCGCTCAGGGCCGGGGAGACACTCACGGGTTTGCACCCCCACCCGAGGAAAAGGGCCCAGCGCAGAAATGGCGCACTGGGGACGTTGTCTTGGGTGCAGGCTCTTGGGAGACAAGGAGGAAAGCAGCCCCAGACCCAGGCTTGGGGCAGCCCCTGCAGCTGAGATCCCGGGAAGGGTGGTCAGTGGGTGTGGGTGAGGGGCAGAATCGAGAGCCCCGTAGGACAGACTAGGGCAGCATTTGGACCATCAGCAACGGGGCACCGGCTGGTAGTTGGGGTTTCAGCAGACAATGAACTAACTCACCTCTTGGGGACTCCCGGCTATTTTGTGCCTGTCAATGTTTGTTGTTGTTTATAAGTAGCAGATTACAGGGTTAGGCGAAGGTCCCCGAGCCAGACACCTGTGTTCAGTTCCTGCATCTGCAGTTCACAAGCTGGGTGATTTGGGGTGCTCCCCCTCCTGTGACCTCGGTCTCCCCTTCTGTAAAGCTGGGGTGACAGTGAGGCTGGCCAGATGGCCACCCACCCCCAGAAGACTGTAGCCTCCAGGTGGTGTGGAGGCACAGACAGCCTGTGTGCGTTGGGGGTACTGTTGAAGACAGTCGGGGTGCTCCCTTCCCAAGGCCCTCCCAGCCAGGACTCCCTCCAGTGTTCCCTATTAGAAGTTCCTCCCCCAGACCCCACGAAGCCTTGGAGGGGGAAGGTTCCAAGGAACAGGGCCTGGCCAGGCTTCAATGGCTGAGCTGATGGCCAGCACACCTCTCTAGCAGGGACCAGCAGGGCTGGCTCTTTGTGTGGCTAATGAGGGGGCCACATCTGGCCCCCATCTGGTCCCACCCAGATGGCACCTCCACTATTCAAAAAGACTCTCCTGAGTGATAGCTCTCACCCCGGAGACTCCATCTCCATCCCTGAGGCTACCTGGTCCTGGTCCCTGGAGTCAGTCAATTTCAAACCAAAACCAGGTTTCAAAGGAGACAAGTGAATCTTGCTTCACAGAAGCCTCACCCTAGACAGTGCCTCTGTGCCCATGGGCATCCTAGAAATTAGCACCTCCTCCGGTCTGCGGCTGCTGGGACCCCACGCCCACCCACACCAGGCCACTGTCCAAGAACACGCAGCACAGAAAGAGGAACGGGGATGCCCACAAGGTGGTTGGGAACCAACAATGCAGGTCCCCGAAGCAGGGGTGTCCAGGGTGCAGGCGGGCTGCAGAGGTTGGCCACGCCCTCCTCAAGCCCTTCCCCGACCCCTGCCCTGCGGGAAGCGGGTGAGGTGTCAGGGCGAAGGTGGACGGAGCGTCCACGGGCAGGACAAGCCCAGGCTGGCTTCCCCGTGGGACTTGAGAAGTGAGGGAGGCTGAGGGCTGTCTGTTGAGGTCGAGGTCTGGGGTCCGGGACCCCAGAGAGCTGCCTTTGCGGGGTGTGGCCCCCTGGCGCCTGGCCCCTCCTGGATTGGTCACTGGAGTCGGTTAGGACTTGGACTTTCCGCACGAGACGGAGTAAGGAGCGCAAAGGGGCTGCGCCAGCCCCGCGGGGGTCTGGGGCGGGACTCGGGGAAGGCTGTGGGCGGGGCCGGGACCGGAGAAGGGAGGGGATGGGGCGGGGCTGGAAGCAGGAGCCTGGGCTGGGGTGAGGGATCCGGGCAAGTCCAGGGGCCGTGCCGGGGGCGGGGTGCTGGTGGGGTAGGAGAGGGGGAGGGGAAGGGGCGGGGTCGAGGGCGCACGGGGCGGGGGAGCTGGGGGCGGGGTCGGGACTGGGGTCCGCGCTGGGGGCGGGCCGGGGGCGTGGCGGCCTTCCAGGCTCTGGGCCCGGGGCACCGTGCTCACCGCGCTGGGGCGAGTGTCTGCAGGGTGGACCCGGCGACCAGGTCTCCGCATTGCCGCTTCGGGCGCGGGCGGGAAGCCGGACGCTCCGCACCTGCAGCGACTTTGGGCTCCGCGGATCCGGCGCGGGCACCTGTGGCTGCGTCCTATGGCGCACGTGGAGGCGGAGGCTCCGGGGAGCCGCCGGAGCCGCCTGTGAGCCGGGAGCGGAGGAGGCACCGGCGCGCACGATGTCTTTCCTTGAAGAGGCGAGCGCAGCGGGGCGCACGGTGGCCCTGGCGCTGGTGCTGCTGCTGCTCCCCGCCGTGCCCTTGGGCGCCAGCGTTCCGCCGCGGCCCCTGATCCCGCTGCAGCCCAGCATGTGAGTAGCAGGAGCTGGGAGGGCTCGGAGGGTCGTCCAGAGACCGCGGGGCCCGCGGTGGACCGAGCTCCGAGGCTTTGTCCCTGGGGCTCCAGAACAATGGGCTGTTTGCGTTAACTGGGGAGGAGGTGGCTGCGACCCAGGGCTCCTGGGTCGAGTCTGGAGCCCTTCCGTGGCAGGGCCCCTCGCCGTGTCCCCTCCTTCTCTCCCACTCTCCCCTTCTTTTGCTCGGTGATGTGGGTCCTGCAGGCTCAGGCAGATACTGTACTTGGAAAGCGGTGAGGAATCTGGGCCCCTTTCCGGGCAGGGTCTGGCCCCAGAACCCGGCTGGGAGAAGGCAGAGAGGAAGCCGCCTGTTCCCGTTTCCCTCCAAAGCTTGTCTCCTGGGGTCTGGGGGCCTTCGCAGGGGCGAGCCATGCCCAGACGGGGGAGCTGAATGGAGTTGGTCTGTGTGTTAAACACGTGTGCTTTGGGCTGTTGAAGAAGGAATTTAGTGCCAGAATGGGCAGGAAGAGAGGGTCAGGGAGCCAGCCGAGATGAATTTAATTTTGAAAGATGATTCCCTAACGGGCTGTTTAGCGGTCTCTCTTGAACAGCAAATCAATCCTTGTGTTGGCCTCAAAGGAAAACTGGTGCTGCAGTGGAGAAGGAGGAGGAGGAGGGGATTCGCTGGCGCCGCCACCCAGCACTCCCTGGCCTTGCTGGGCAGGGGCGGTGGGCGAGGGCCAGGCCCAGGTGAAGGCCTCCTGTCCGACAGCCTCTCCCTCCAGGGACCACAGAGGGGCTCTCAGGCTGTTCCTGTCCAGCACTCCCCCGCAGGGCCTGGTGCTCGAGGGCCTGCCACAAACCTGGCCGTGCAGGACCGAGCTGCAACTGGCTGGGGACTGAGAGAAGAAGCTGCCACGTCAAGCTGGTGGAGGGGAGGGGGTCCAAGCTCCCAAGATCCCACCCTGGGTCTGGCTTTACTCCAAGAAGGAGGCCTTTTCAAAGCCGTGCGGTCCCTGGGTGGGGGCCTTGCCATCCGCAATGTGAACGGCCCTAGTCCTGCCTCCACATGACGACGGAACGTTCCTCTTTCCTGTGATTCCAATGCCTTTGTCTGAGGAGAGCTGCAGGCTCAGAAGGGACACCACAGTGGCCTTCGCTGCTCAGCCAGCCATCTCCTCCCAGGACCAGCCAGGGGCTTCCAGGGGCATAGGCTCCCCGGAGTCCCAGGGCTGGGCTGCTTCTCGGCGGATGGCCCGCTGTCTCTGCTCGGATGTCCCTGCTTTTGCGAAGGGCCTCTGCCACCGGTGCCCTGCGGAGACTGTCGGCGGCCTTCCTGGGCCCCTGCCGGACTCGGACTTGCTTGGGTCTCCAGGAGAGGAGTGGACGGTCTGCTTCCTGTGTTCTGTCTGTGCACCTGGGCTCGGGAGGCCCTTCGTGAGCCTGGGGCAAAGCCGTTTGAAATGGTGGAAATGGGTTGCAGGAGAGTTGTCTGTCTTTGCTCATCCTTTCTCCAAACCTCCCCTCCTCTCCCTTCTCTATCCTTCACATCCTACGCTTCTCCTTGGGAGCCTCCCTGGCTGCAGTAAGTGGCGATGGCTACGCTGGGGGCCTGTGCCCCTGGTTTATCTTCTTGGCTCCAGGCATATCCACTGGGAGCCTCTGCTCACTCTGCTCACAGATCGTCCACCAGCGAGAGTCTGAGTTCTGTGACAGTGGCAGGCATGCCTTCCACAGGCCAGTTGTCCTGTAAGCACCTGGCACGTGCCTGGACATGCAGCCAGGCCACACTGGGCCGCAGTGTGCCGAAGTTGGCCGGCTGAGTGAGTGCGGGGACGCTGAGCTGGACCCTGGAGAGGTCCCCACTGGGCTGTGGAGAGCAGGGCCTGTTCTGAGGCTCACTCTGTGGGGCAGAAAGGAGGAGGAAGCTGTGGGCTCTGGTATGGGGGTGGGGCAGGGGTGCTCTTGGCTCCCTTACCCCAGAGGAGCAGGCCAGTCCCAGAGAGTGCTCAGTCCCTACCGATCCTGTCCTCCCCACCACCCTTTCCTCCTGGGAATCTGATGAGCAGGCAGAGCCTGGCATGGGGCAGTGGCACCCCCTCTGGCTGAGTTTTCCTGAACCACTGGCTGCTGAGTTGAAGCCTTACTGCCAACCTCCTGTTAATGCTAGAAGCCGGGGCCTCTGGGAGACGCTGTTGGGGGCAGTGAGGGGGGTGTCCCTCACTCGCAGACCCAGGTGCTTTGCCCCATCTCTGGAGCGGGCAGAGCTGATCTATGTGCTGATTCAGGTCACTCTGAAGTGAGTTTCCGCTGCGAGGAAGGATGGCTGGCCTCTTTCCTGGGGCCTCATGCAGGACGCCCTAGGCTGCTGGCTGGGCGTCTGGGAACAGGGTCTGGGAGAAGGGGGCGATTGCCTACCTGCTAAGGCATGGACCCACAGGGCTTGGACAAGCCATGGTTGGAAGTTCCACATTTTGGAGACCCTGAGAGGCGCTGCTGGGCTGCAGAGAGCTCAGGTTCTCTCTGATGGAGTCCCCTCTGGGCAGCTGTGCTGCAAAAATGGCCAGTGCTCTGGAATCAGCTAATGATGCGATGCCTCCCCTCCAGGACGGGTCGGGCCCTGCAAGCTCAAATCCAATCTTGCAAGTAGCTCTTTGGAACCACTGGCGCCATGGGCTCCAAGGGCCCCATTTCTGAGCCTGAGGCCTGCAGGTTGTCAGCAGGTCTGCTCCCCAACCCCAGGGTGTAGAAAGCAGCTGTTCTCAGCCTCCCCTTAGGGCCCTGAGTTTCACAGCACAGTGACATGGAGGAGAAGGAGCTCTCTGTGAGCTGCTGCCTTTGGGGCTTCAAGTGACATTGTTTGTTGTCTCCTTGTCTTTGGGAAGGCACCTGAGGGTCTGAGGGGCCCCAGGGCAGGAACTGGGCTCCCCCAACCCCAGGGCCTTGAGATTCCCCCCATGCTGGCTGCGTGGGGGCCAGGGAAGCATAAGCAGAGGAGAACCGTGGGGGTAAAAACGAGCCTTTAAAAATAAATGTGAGGACCGCAGTCCTGAGCAACCCCCCCCAATTCCCCCCTCCGGCCCCCGCTGCCCACAGGGGTTTGTTCAGGGGCTGCATTCAGCCAGGCTGGGGAGCTGAGCCAGGCTGGCTGCCCGGTTTCTGGATCCCCCGTCCCCAATCTGGTGATGCCGTCGCTGGGCCCAGACTGTCGCTGCCCGCCCTGGAGGGACCCTGCGGCATGCCCATCTCTTGCCAGTGGACCCCAGGTCTGCTCGGGAGCAGATGGCCCGCCAGCTGGAACGCATTCCGCCTCTGACTGCACCGGGCCCACTTTGTAGTTTGGGAATTCCTGTTCCACCCCCCAGATGGGAGGCAGGCTCCAGCCGCAAGGAACAGTGAAGCCTGGGACTCTGGTCCTGTCTAAGGTCACCAGACGTTTTATTGGGTTCTTCTCAGACCCATGTGCAGCAGTGGGCAGGTTTCTTTTTGTCCGCTCCTCTGCCTGCCCTCCCCCCGCCACCTTCTCCATCCTCCCAGGTGGGAAGGCCTCTGGGGCTGCGTGTGGTGTGGGAAGGCCTCTGGGGCCGTGTGTGGGGTGCGGGAAGGCCGCTGGGGCCGTGTGTGGGGTGCGGGAAGGCCGCTGGGGCTGCGTGTGGGGTGCGGGAAGGCTGCTATGGCTGTGTGTGTGGTGCTGAAGTCCCCAGAGGAGACAGTCGTTCCCACACTCACCCCTCCATCCTTGAAGGCTGGCTTGATGGATGATCAATCAATCTTGTTGGGGGTCACTGCAAGAGCCACCCAGGAGCCGTTTTCAGGGACCACAGCCTGGCTGGGCAGGGCAAGGGCCCTCTCGCCTTGGGGAGAGCCGTGAGGGGGAGAAGTTACTGGGGAGACATAGGGCGCACCAGGTGGGCAGGGGCCTGGAGAGTGACGGGTGTGATGTGCGGGAAGGGCTGCTGGGTGGTCGAGGGTGGGGTTGGCAAGGGGTCTTGGTGAGTCCTTCAGCATTGTCATCTTGCTGGTTAGTGGCAGCTGAGATTGCTGAGGTTTGAGGAGGGCCAGGAGGGACAAGAAGGCCCTTCAGAAGGGAGCACCCAACCCCTCAGGACCCCCAGCCCCGGCCGTGTCCCCGATGTCTCCAAGCCCCCGGGGCCCGAGCTGTCATCACACCTGTTTTCCAAATGCTGAATTGAGGGCTCAGAGACGGTCAGTGATTCCTCAGGCTGCACAGCAAGCCCCAGGCCTGGGGTGTCTGCTGAAAACCTAGGCTCACAGCTCTGCCCTCTCTGTGCCATCTCCATCCTGAGATGGTGACGGAGTCCCTTCACAGTGGCTACCCTCAGCACAGGGGCCATAGCAGAGTCAGGGGCTGGACCCTGTAGCCCAGAAGCTCGGGGATCATCGGCCTACCCCCACCCTGCCCCCCACTTCTGTTTTTTTATGGCAAGCAATTCAGGGCCACTTGTGCCCAGGGCTCGCCGTGGGTAAGTGCGTTGCAAGGCACAGGGGCAGCAAAAGCGTTCAATGCCTGTAGCAGTTCCTATGGGCCCACTTTTGAGGTACGAGTGACACTTTTTCCGGAATAAACAGTCCCAGCATCTGCAATAACACTGGCTCACACCTCCCGAGGGCTGTCAGGAGCCCTTTTCTGTGCGGGCTCACCTAACCCTCATGACAGCCTGGCAAGGTCAGTGCTGCGAATCCTCATTTTACAGGTGACGGAACTGAGGCAGAGGTTCAGTAACCTGCATGTCTTAAAGACGGGCTGTGGGGAGCTGAGCGTCAAACCCAGGCTGCCTGGCAGTGAGACCTTGCTTCAAACCGCTAGGCCTGGGGTTACAAGCTTGAGTGTGCTCCGGCATCCCCTGGTGGGCTTGGGCAAACACACGCAATCCTTCCCTCCCCAAGGATTGCTGGGCCCCACCCCCAGCATCCTGGATTCGGTGGACCAGGGTGGCACCCAGGAGTGTGCATTTCTGCAGGTTCCCAGGAGGCGCTGCTGGTCCCGCCGGGGGATCCCACTTGAGAACCAGTGCATGATGCTTTGCATCCCTAGAGCCCGACGGTCGGTGGGGTGGGTGCATTCATCACGAGTTCTGCCCTCCAAGATGCACTAGTGCTTTAAAACACCCATCTCTGATCCCAAATTTGACACTGTTACCTGAAAGCGTGGCTTTTTGAGTTTCAGAGGGACAGTGTATCTGTTAGTAGGAGGAGGACGGGGTGGCACTGTCCCAGGAGGGGTTGGGGAGGGGTGTTCACAAAGGGTCCATGCTGTGTGGAAGGTGCATGGGCGAGGAAGCACGGGGGTGCCACCGTGGAGCCAAGGCCATTCCTTGGGTGGGGGCTGGGTCCTGGAACCTGGAGAGAGGGGGTGCGGCCCCTGCCCCTGACAGGAGGGCCAAACCCCAGTGCCTCTCCCACATCTCTTGCTGGTCCTCCCGTTGACTAAACGCACCCTGCAGCCAGAGGGCAAAGTGTGTAAGTGTGTGCCTGTGTGTGTATCTGTGAGTGTGTGTGTGAATGGGAGTTTGAGAGTGCATATGTGTGTGTGTGTGTGTGTGAGTGTGTGAGCTTCCATGCGTGACAGTACAGAAGTGTGTGTTCATGAGTGTGTGTGTGGTTGTGTGTGTGTGTGTGTGTCATTGTATGAGTGTGTGTGATTGCGAATGTGTGTGTATGTGAGTGTGTGAGTGTGTATGAGTATGTGTGATTGTGTTTGAGTGTGAATGTGTGTGTGTGATTGTGTGTGAATGTGTATATATGTAATTGTGTGTATATGTGTATGTGGGTGAGTGTGTGTATGAGGGTGTGTGATTTTGAGTGTGAATGTGTGATTGTGAGTTTGTGTGTACGTGATTGTATGTGGGTATGATAGTGTGAGTGTGTGTGAACATGTATGAGTGTATGAGCATGTTGAGTGTGTGAGCATGCATGTGAGTGTGAATGTGTGTGATTGAGTGTGTTTGTGAATGTGTGTGACTGTGTATGATTGTGTGTGTGAGTGTGTGAGAGTATGTGTGAGTGCATTGTGTGTTAGCGTGAGTGTGTTCGAGTCCGTGTAAAGTATGTGTGACTGTGTGTGGGTGTGTGAGATTGAGTATGAGTAAGGGTGTATGTGATTGTGAGTGTGTGATTCTGTGGGTATGAGTGGTTGTGAATGTGTGTGAGTGTGAGTTTGTGTGTGATTGAGAGTGAGTGTGAGAGAGAGTGTGTGTATGTGCAGGTGCTGGGAGGATGTGATCCACAGAGGTCAGCCTTGGGTCACAGCAGGATGGGGTGGGGCGGTGGCCCTGGGGGCTGTGAGACCATCCCCCATGGGTGCTGTAGTCTGGGGGTCAGGAATGAGGTCAGGACCCAGCTCCAGGGAGGCTGAGGAGGGACCTCCCTGGAGACTTGACCCTCTGTCCCTGATCCAACCTCTGGCCCTGCCCCCTCGCCTATTTTCACGCTGGGATCCGTGGCTCTTGGGACACAGAGGCCAAACAGTGCTGGTGGAAGGTGGGAGAGGCCTGGCCCTTAGTCCTGTCTGTACCTCTCATTAGCTGGTGACCTTGAGCAGATCAGGGGGTCACTGTCACCTCCTCCCTGGGAGGGGAGAGATTCAATGATGTAACATCGGGAAAGGACCTGGTGCTGGGCACGGAGGAGGCCCTCCTGAGCGAGTCACCTCTTCTCCGGCTCGCGGGTAGAAATAGGGTTTTTGGAAGTCTCGCTCCCTGCCCAGGAGGGAGTTGTCTTCCTGGTGCAGGAAGAGGCAATGGCAGAGCCTTTCCACCTGCCCTGAGTTCCTGCAGCTGATTCCACCTGGCTGGAGGGTCCCCATGGCTGTGGAGGCTTCTTGGCTGCAGCTGCAGGTCTGTCTGGGAATTGGTGGGGAGCCTGGACTCTGCTCATGGCCAGGAGGAGCTCTGCCCCGCCTCTCACCCTGCCTTGTGTCCCTGCCCTGCAGTCACCTGAGCTTGGACTCCAGGGATCAACGCTGCCTTGGGTGGGCAAGCCTCAGCCCTGGGATGGGCAGTTTGGGAAACTGCGGGAGAGTGTGGGCAAAACCTCTCATCAGGAGGTCACAGCAGGACGTGTCCAGCGGCAGCCCCAGCCCCTCTCGGACTGGACTGGAGATCTGGAGCTGGACTCTGGTCCCAGCCTTCGTCTGTCCCTTCGTGGGTGGGCAGCTGGAGGCCAGGGTCCCTCCTCTGTGCCACAGCTGCCTGGTGGAGCCCCTGCTGTCCCAGCTGGTGAGGCCCTGCCATTTGCTGTTCTCAGCTTGGCGCCGCTGTGCTGGGTCTGTGCTTTCTGGATTTGTTCAGCACAAGGGGGTGGGCTGAAGTCAGAGGGGACACAGGGCTTCCCACACAGCACGAGCCCCAGGAAAGAGGAAAAATATAGTCCTCCATCGCGAGAGCCTCCATCTGGGGGTGGCTGGCCTGGGGCCAGGGTGGCTGGACGGGGCGGGCAGTCTCTGAGTGCTGAGCCAGGGTCCGGCCCACCAGGCGGCGGCGGGTTAGGGGCTCCTGGCAAGGCCTGGGCAGAGGGTGGTACCGAGCCTGGACAATATTCCTGGTGGAGTGGGGACCTCTGATGAGGGGCTGGGGAACCCCTGCCACCTGCTTGCCCCCAGGAGGTGGGAGGGGTTCTGGCGGGATCTGCCAGGCTTGCTGCACCTGAGGCTGGAGGGGAGACACCGGCCCACACCAGGTGTGCCTGGCCCTGGTTCTAGGTAGCAAGCCCAGAGCTGGGAGAGCAGGACAAACCTCTTCTTTCCACTGAGGCCCCCCAGACATAACCTGACTCAGTGGGACACGAGCGTTGGAGCCTTGTCCTCTCCCCTCAAATTTGCTTCTGTAGAGGGAGCCCGCCTCACCCCTCAGTCAGGGTAGGCCAGGGGTGAACCCCTGCTCGGGGGGTGCTGGCCCGTGTGGCCGTCTTTGGAGGGTCCCTCCCTCTGACCCTTCCCCCTGAAGGGTCTGAGTCCTTTCTCCACCTGCTCCGAGCCCGGTGGGGTCTGGATGGCTGGCTTAGGGCACCTGTCCCTGGCGTGTTCCCCTCCCCTGGTTTATGCAGGCTCTGGGCTGGAGAGGCCTTGGAGGGGACCTGAAGGAGCTTGGCAGGGATGGGCCTGGGGTTTTCACCTCCTCCTCTGAGAGCAAACACTCACCCGTGTGAGTAATATGATGCCGGGGAGCCACTGACTTCACAGCGAATGGGCCCGTGTTCACCTCACCTTGCCGTGGGCGAATTCCTGCTCAGCCGTGTGCCCCAGCAGCATCAGGGCTTGGGACATCTCTGAAGCAAGGCGGGGAGGGCTGGGGTGGAGAGGACAGATGGGTCTGGGCTTGGTCCTGAATTCTGGACCAGGCGTGACTGTGCCTCGAGGCTACGGTTCCTGTCTGTTGAGGCAGCGTCATTGGTGGTTGTGTCCTGAGGTCTTGGAGGACCAGGAGCCACGCTGTAGCCCATGCATAGGGATGTGTCGGTCATCTTGCCTTTTCCCCTGAGCTCCTGTGCCTTCAAGCCTGGGAGAGTGGCACGGGCACTGTGCTGTGGAGGCCTGGCCATGGGTCTGGACCTCACTCCAGATGGGCTGGCACCCAAAGCTGGGGGCGCAGGAGGGGTGGGTGCTGCCGGCTAGGGGTGGCCGAGGCGCTGACTCTCTGTGTCTCTGTTCCAGGCCCCACGTGTGTGCTGAGCAGGAGCTGACCCTGGTGGGCCGCCGCCAGCCGTGTGTGCAGGCCTTCAGCCACATGGTGCCGGTGTGGAAGGCTGGCTGTGGGTGGCAGGCGTGGTGCGTGGGCCATGAGCGGAGGTAGGTGCAGGGGCCCCAGGGGCCATGTTGGGGGAGGGGCTCTGTTCACACAGAGGGCAGCACTGACCACCTGGGAGCTGGGCAGCTGAGGCTGGGACTCCGTCCCGGTCCCGGGGCCACGTGGACCCCTGCCTGAAGCCCTCATCTGAACCTGAGGCCTCTCCCACCCTCCGGGTGAGGCTGCCATGGGGCTACTCAGATGCTGTAGCCCTCACCTGTTTAGCCAAGCACCAGGCCCAGGAGGATGCTGGCCACGCAGGAGGGGGAGAGTGGTCTCAGCCTGCCAGGGGCCCGGCGGGAGACGGCTGCTGCTTGGCCCTAGGGTCTTGTTCCCAAACACACGTGAAACTTTTTATTGCTCAAGATTTTATTTCAACACCGAACTTGAGTGCCTGTGCACACCTCTCCCCTTTTATAGCCTCAGGCTCTGCAGAGCCAGCCCCACTGCAGAGTGGGTTGTGTGGGGAACTGGCAGCCACCCCATGTCAGGTGGAGGGTTTCCGTGTGTCTGGGGGAGGGAAGGCAGAAACGCGTTCTCAGATAAGAGTGTGGCTTGGCTTCTCAGCCTGGGACCTGTGGAGGAGCTGAGGCCCTGCTCTGTGCTGCTCTCGTGGGCGTGAGGTCCACGCGGGACACCTGCATCTGCTGTGCCCACTCGAGGGGCCCCAGCAGCTTTCCAGTCAATGTGTGTTTGCTGTGCAATTCAGGTGTGTTCAGAGTAGAGGAGAAAAGAACCGTTAAGCAATAATGGCGGTTTTCACTCAGGGACGGTTCTGTCTTGCTACCCCGGGACAGTGGAGATGGGGAGTCAGGTTTGGTGACAGGTGAGCTGGGCAGGTTGAGGGGCCAGGGATGCTGCTCAGCATCTGCAACATGCAGGACAAGCCCCCAGACAGATGACCCAGCCCAGTGCAGCAGGGCTGAGGCTTAGGGACCCTGAGCCCCCAAACAAGAGATCTCAGGAGGGCTGAGGTTCATTGGCCCTGAGCAAAAAGAAGAAGAAAGCTCCTCTCATTGTTTTCCCCAAAATAGCAGCTTTCATTCTATCCTGACTGTCATCCGTGTGTGGACGCGGGCCCGTCCCGTGGGTGTAACGCACGCGTGGACGCGGGCCCGTCCCGTGGGTGTAACGCGCGCGTGGACGCGGGCCCGCCCCGTGGGTGTAACGCGTGCGTGGACGCGGGCCCGTCCCGTGGATGTAATGCCTGTCCTGTGGACGCGGGCCTGTCCCGTGGATGTAATGTGTGCGTGGACGCGGGCCTGTCCCGTGGATGTAATGTGTGCGTGGACGCGGGCCCGTCCCGTGGATGTAATGCCTGTCCTGTGGACGCGGGCCTGTCCCGTGGATGTAATGTGTGCGTGGACGCGGGCCCGTCCCGTGGATGTAATGTGTGCGTGGATGCGGGCCCGTCCCGTGGATGTAATGCCTGTCCTGTGGATGCGGGCCTGTCCCGTGGATGTAATGTGTGCGTGGATGCGGGCCTGTCCCGTGGATGTAATGTGTGCGCGGACGCGGGCCCATCCCGTGGATGTAATGTGTGTGTGGACGTGGGCCCGTCCCGTGGATGTAATGTGTGCGTGGACGCGGGCCCGTCCCGTGGATGTAATGCCTGTCCTGTGGATGCGGGCCTGTCCCGTGGATGTAATGTGTGCATGGACGCGGGCCCGTCCCGTGGATGTAATGTGTGCGTGGACGCGGGCCCGTCCCGTGGATGTAATGTGTGCGCGGACGCGGGCCCGTCCCGTGGATGTAATGTGTGCGCGGACGCGGGCCTGTCCCGTGGATGTAATGTGTGCGTGGACACGGGCCCGTCCTGTGGATGTAATGTGTGTGTGGACGCGGGCCCGTCCCGTGGATGTAATGCCTGTCCTGTGGATGCGGGCCTGTCCCGTGGATGTAATGCCTGTCCTGTGGACGCGGGCCTGTCCCGTGGATGTAATGTGTGTGTGGACGCGGGCCCGTCCCGTGGATGTAATGCCTGTCCTGTGGATGCGGGCCTGTCCGTGGATGTAACGTGTGCGCGGACGCGGGCCCGTCCCGTGGATGTAACGTGTGCGCGGACGCGGGCCCGTCCCGTGGATGTAACGTGTGCGCGGACGCGGGCCCGTCCCGTGGATGTAACGTGTGCGCGGACGCGGGCCCGTCCCGTGGATGTAACGTGTGCGCGGACGCGGGCCCGTCCCGTGGATGTAACGTGTGCGCGGACGCGGGCCCGTCCCGTGGATGTAACGTGTGCGCGGACGCGGGCCCGTCCCGTGGATGTAACGTGTGCGCGGACGCGGGCCCGTCCCGTGGATGTAATGTGTGCGCGGACGCGGGCCCGTCCCGTGGATGTAATGTGTGCGCGGACGCGGGCCCGTCCCGTGGATGTAATGTGTGCGCGGACGCGGGCCCGTCCCGTGGATGTAATGTGTGCGCGGACGCGGGCCCGTCCGTGGATGTAATGTGTGCGTGGACGCGGGCCCGTCCCGTGGGTGTAATGTGTGCGTGGACGCGGGCCCGTCCCGTGGGTGTAATGTGTGCGTGGACGCGGGCCCGTCCCGTGGGTGTAATGTGTGCGTGGACGCGGGCCCGTCCCGTGGGTGTAATGTGTGCGTGGACGCGGGCCCGTCCCGTGGGTGTAATGTGTGCGTGGACGCGGGCCCGTCCCGTGGGTGTAATGTGTGCGTGGACGCGGGCCCGTCCCGTGGGTGTAATGTGTGCGTGGACGCGGGCCCGTCCCGTGGGTGTAATGTGTGTGTGGACGCGGGCCCGTCCCGTGGATGTAATGCCTGTCCTGTGGACGCGGGCCTGTCCCGTGGATGTAATGTGTGCGTGGACGCGGGCCCGTCCCGTGGATGTAATGTGTGCGTGGACGCGGGCCCGTCCCTTGGGTGTAATGTGTGCGTGGACGCGGGCCCGTCCCGTGGATGTAATGTGTGCGTGGACGCGGGCCCGTCCCGTGGATGTAATGTGTGCGTGGACGCAGGCCCGTCCCGTGGATGTAATGCTGTCCTGTGGATGCGGGCCTGTCCCGTGGATGTAATGTGTGCGCGGACGCGGGCCCGTCCGTGGATGTAATGTGTGCGCGGACGCGGGCCCGTCCCGTGGATGTAATGTGTGCGTGGACGCGGGCCCGTCCCGTGGATGTAATGCCTGTCCTGTGGATGCGGGCCTGTCCCGTGGATGTAATGTGTGCGCGGACGCGGGCCCGTCCCGTGGATGTAATGTGTGCGCGGACGCGGGCCCGTCCCGTGGATGTAATGTGTGCGTGGACGCGGGCCCGTCCCGTGGATGTAATGCCTGTCCTGTGGATGCGGGCCTGTCCCGTGGATGTAATGCCTGTCCTGTGGACGCGGGCCCGTCCCGTGGGTGTAATGTGTGTGTGGACGCGGGCCCGTCCCGTGGATGTAATGCCTGTCCTGTGGATGCGGGCCTGTCCCGTGGATGTAATGCCTGTCCTGTGGATGCGGGCCTGTCCCGTGGATGTAATGTGTGCGTGGACGCGGGCCCCTCCCGTGGATGTAATGTGTGCGTGGACGCGGGCCCGTCCCGTGGATGTAATGTGTGCGTGGACGCGGGCCCGTCCCGTGGATGTAATGTGTGCGTGGACGCGGGCCCGTCCCGTGGATGTAATGTGTGCGTGGACGCGGGCCCGTCCCGTGGATGTAATGTGTGCGTGGACGCGGGCCCGTCCCGTGGATGTAATGTGTGCGTGGACGCGGGCCCGTCCCGTGGATGTAATGTGTGCGTGGACGCGGGCCCGTCCCGTGGATGTAATGTGTGCGTGGACGCGGGCCCGTCCTGTGGATGTAATGTGTGCGTGGACGCGGGCCCGTCCCGTGGATGTAATGTGTGCGTGGACGTGGGCCCGTCCCGTGGATGTAATGCCTGTCCTGTGGATGCGGGCCTGTCCCGTGGATGTAATGTGTGCGCGGACGCGGGCCGTCCCGTGGATGTAATGTGTGCGTGGACGCGGGCCCGTCCCGTGGATGTAATGTGTGCGTGGACGCGGGCCCGTCCCGTGGATGTAATGTGTGCGTGGACGCGGGCCCGTCCCTTGGGTGTAATGTGTGCGTGGACGCGGGCCCGTCCCGTGGGTGTAATGTGTGCGTGGACGCGGGCCCGTCCCGTGGATGTAATGTGTGCGTGGACGTGGGCCCGTCCCGTGGATGTAATGCCTGTCCTGTGGATGCGGGCCTGTCCCGTGGATGTAATGTGTGCGCGGACGCGGGCCTGTCCCGTGGATGTAATGTGTGCGCGGATGCGGGCCTGTCCCGTGGATGTAATGTGTGCGTGGACGCGGGCCCGTCCCGTGGATGTAATGTGTGCGTGGACGCGGGCCCGTCCCGTGGATGTAATGCCTGTCCTGTGGATGCGGGCCTGTCCCGTGGATGTAATGTGTGCGTGGATGCGGGCCTGTCCCGTGGATGTAATGTGTGCGCGGACGCGGGCCCATCCCGTGGATGTAATGTGTGTGTGGACGCGGGCCCGTCCCTTGGGTGTAACGCGTGTGTGGACGCGGGGCCCGTCCGTGGATGTAATGCCTGTCCTGTGGACGCGGGCCCGTCCCGTGGATGTAATGTGTGTGCGGACGTGGGCCTGTCCCATGGATGTAATGTGTGTGCGGACGTGGGCCCGTCCCGTGGGTGTAATGCCTGTCCTGTGGACGCGGGCCCGTCCCGTGGGTGTAATGCGTGCGCGACGCGGGCCCGTCCTGTGGGTGTAATGTGTGTGTGGACGCGGGCCCGTCCCTTGGGTGTAATGTGTGCATGGACGCGGGCCCGTCCCGTGGATGTAATGTGTGTGCGGACGTGGGCCCGTCCCGTGGGTGTAATGCGTGTGTGGACACGGGCCCGTCCTGTGGGTGTAATGTGTGCGTGGATACCGGTGGATTTACTTGTGGGAATTTGGTCTCCTCAGCCAGGTCTCCCGTCAACAGCTCGTGGTGGAAGAGCTCCATTTCTGGAAGCAGCCAGAAGCCACCTGAGCGCAGGGCTGGAGAGTCCTGGTGGCCCGG